GTTGCGACTTTTCAACTGGCGGCCAAGCAAATGTAAATGTAGCATGCAAAAGATATGTATGTATGTAAGTGCAATAACGCTTGTGAACTTTGTGAGTGAATGAAAACATATGTAAATTTTCCAAGAAAATGCTACCTCGTCCGCCAGTCAGTGGCATGTACCTTCCTTCCTACCCACCATCTACCCACTTTGCCCATTGCGAGCGGCCTGCAAAACCGCGCGACGCCAACGTCTTGACGTGCTTCGGCATTATTAGTGGAGCGTCGCTTAAGAAAATATTTTAGTGAAATTAAGAAATATTTGCGGTTGCCACAAAACTACTTAATAAATCTTCGTCTTCGACTTAATATTGCCATTAACGTCGAGTTAAAAATATGCTAAATGACCCAAAATGTTTACGTTTTGTTTAAGAATATCTTACACTTATAAATATACTTCTTTTAAGTAGGTATGCACATTAGGGTGGTAAAAAAAAAAATTCAAGTTGGAATTTTATGAATATCTCAACTCATAGGTGCGCCGAACCGACTTAAATTTTTCGCATGCATTTTTACTATATATAAAGAGTAGCTGAATACCACGACTCCAACGCCGCCTAGAGGATCTATTTTTGTAAAAGTATTTCTCGTCACCCTTCCAGTCTACTTTCTAATTTCATCAAATTCGTACGGTAAATATAGTTTTTATGTATTCAAAAAATTATTCAAAAAAATCAGTGCAATGTAGGATAACAATAAGGGTATCAAATAAAAGAAAAAAATCTGTAAAATTATAAGAGAATAAATTTCATGGTGCATAAGGACGAATAGGTATGGAAAATGTCCTTTAAAAATTTACTACTTACCTAAATATCCTTAAAAATTTGCAATATTTTTTTTGAGAAAATTATTGTTTGAGGTCTAATATATACACGACCTCATCATCGAATTTCGTACAGCAAACTTTATTTACTTAGAAGGATAGAATTTATTAAAAGTGCATTTTCAATACTTATTCGCTCTTGTAAACCAAAAAACTTTATTGTTTTTAAATTCTAGAGAATTTTCCCTCTAATTTGATACTCATATTGTTATTCGACATTGTCTAAAATAATTTTGAAAAAAGTCCTGACGTCGGAGTGAAAAACTATAAACGCAGTTTTACTAAATTTGGCCCATAGTTTCGTGAATATATCAATTCATTAGTTTTTTTTTTTTTGTTTTTGTCGCACGATGTTATACCTTTAATTTTAAAATTCAAAACACTTACCTGCTACAGAGGCGATAACTTAAAGTTTATGGCAATTTATTAAGTGTTAACTCCAATCAAAGGTTTACTTACTTCGTCCTGCAAAGAGAAAGAAAAATTTTCAAAATTAAAGATAAGTTTAGTTAAATATCGATTAAAATTAAATTCAAAGAAAAATATGTAAGCAAAAAGAAAACTACGAAAGCCAAAGTGCCAATCAATAAAAGGCCAAAATTGATTAAATTCCACAGTGCAAGAGTGGCAACAATAAAAAATGCAGATAAAAACGTTTCGGAGCAAATAAACACGCAATCAAGGCAGGAAAACTTAACGTAAACTTTTCAAATAAACACAAACGCCCTGCCCGTCCAGCTCCATTCTTTCACACTTTCGCATGCCATGAAAATCAGGAAGACAGCGAGTAGACGTGCAAAAATGCCGAAATTACCCAGCAACAATAACAACGGCAGTGCCAATAAGTATAGAATAGTCTGCCAGTCGGACGATTTGACTGACATCCGAGTACCAAAAAATATTATATCGCCTCGACACGACGCGGCTATGGACGCATCATCGAATTACTCCGCAACCTTCAAAGTAAATGTACCGTTACTAATGTGAATTTCAGCGAGTTTAATCGTTGGAAAAATTGAACAAATCAATTTTGTCGCCAAAGCAGCAGCGGCAACGGCAACGGCAGCAAACGGAAGAAAAAACATTGACTTGACAACAACCAAAAACAAGCATTGATAAAGAATTTACGAGCGTAAAACGCCCACACACACACACACACACACAACGCTTTCACTTCTATTCTACGGTTTACAAGTTTTAAAGAAGAAAAATTAAATCAAATAAAAAAGTGTGCGGCGTGTCAAAAAAGTGGTAGTGAACACGTGTTCGAAGCGCCACAACAATAGAAGCAACCAGCTACCACCTACCACCTACAAGTGTATGTTTGTATGTATGCTACTGTTTGTTGCCAAGTGTGCGGCAGACGCCTGCGCCCACCCTGCGGAACAATGGTGTTATCACGTTTTAAATTTCACACTCGCGCCTTCGTGTTGACAGCAAAGAGATTTAAATCGTAACCAAGTCAGTGGCAGGTGGCAGGCAGCAGGCTGGTTAATGGTGGCAGTGTGAACTTTGAACTCGAAGAGAAATTAAAAAAAATAATGAAATAAAAGTAAAAAAACCTACTTACATATGTACAGAGGAGGTTTAATAAAAAAAAGGTGGAAAACCAGCGCAGGAAAGGAACAAATTTGTAGTCGTAAGAAATGGAGATAGCCCTTAAACGTGTATTTCATCGAAAAAATAGAATATATATTTTTTTTTATAAATGTGCATGCATTAGGGTGGTCGATAAAATATCCATAAACATTAGGGACACACCTTTATTTAGTTCTACGTACAAAATAAATATATCCACAAAAGTTTCAAAATTAAAAAAAAAATAGGAGTGGCTGCCAAGGTTTGAAAAAAAAAATTTAACATCACAAGAAAAAATTTTTATTTTGATCAACTATAACTCAGCCAGTTTATGAATTTATATGTCTCGGTTTCAGTAATTCAGTCAGTAATCAGTCAAAATTTTGTCCAATTTTTGCGTTTTAAAAAGAACAAAATTTTTCAACCCTGGGATAGAAAAAGAATTTGCTTTTAAATTTTCAAATTAGCGTGGATTTCTTCATATTGTGAGTAGAAAAAATAAAAAGAGTGCCCCATCCAAAATTATTATGTTGATATTTTAAGACTATCCTAATGCACATACTGTAATTTTAAAAATATCGTTCGTATCGCGATACTACCGCTCGTAATAGCCCTTTTTACTCCAGCCTAACAGGGTAATGGGACGTTCATAACACCACCCGCGGAAGCGGAACGAGTCTTATTCTCATTTATTGGCTTCCTTGATGGAAATATCCAGTTTTTCTTCAATAACTTAAGTAAAACCCATCAATGACCACAAAGAGCTTTGGTTCTATACGCGTCCATATAAAATCCATGAAAACGTGACTGATGTATATCATCAATATTTTTTATAGATACTGGTCCTGGGCTTAACTGCACTTTCACACTCATCTAACACAGAATTTCACATTCCACCGGTAAGAGCTTTTACATGAGTCGTTTCCTGAAAATATCCCG